ATCAGAGCCTGATCAACCAGGCTGTTACTGCTGGCTGCACACAGTCCAACGTACGAGCCACAGCCTGGCTGGTCAGGTACCTACTTTAGGTGCTTGTCCAGTGCCTGCTTGAAGACAGCCAGGGGTCTATTGGTAATCCCCCTTATGTATGCTGGGAGGCAGTTGAACAGTCTCGGGCCCCTGACACTTATTGTATTGTCTCTTAACGTGCTAGTGACACCCCTGCTTTTCATTGGGGGGATGTTGCATCGTCTGCCGAGTCTTTTGCTTTCATTGTGAGTGATTTTCGTGTGCAAGTTCGGTACTAGTCCCTCTAGGTTTTTCCAGGTGTATATAATCATGTATCTCTCCTGCCTGCGTTCCAGGGAGTACAGGTTCAGGAACTTCAAGCGCTTCCAGTAATTGAGGTGTTTTATCTCCGTTATGCGAGAAGAATTAAATCAGATGAGGATCAGGCAGGACTACAAAGAGACCTGGACAACCTGGACATGTGGTCCAGCAACTGGCTCCTTGAATTCAACCCTGCCAAATGCAAAGTCGTGAAGATCGGGGAAGGGCAAAGAAGACCGGAGAGTATAGGCTGGGCGGACAAAGACTGCAAACCTCACTCAAGGAGAAATATCTTGGGGTGACCATAACACCGAGCACATCTCCAGAGGCACACATCAACCAGATAAATGCTGCAGCATATGGGCGCCTGGCAAACCTGAGAATAGCATTCCAATACCTTAGTAAGGAATCGTTCAAGACACTACACTGTGTAGATCACGCCCATACTGGAGTATGCAGCACCAGTTTGGAACTCACACCTGGTCAAGCACGTCAAGAAGTTAGAGAAAGTACAAAGGTTTGCAACAAGGCTAGTTCCGAAACTCAGGGGAATGTCCTACGATGAAAGGTTGAGGGAAATCGGACTGACAACGCTGGAGGACAAGAGGTTCATGGGAGACATGATAACGACATACAAAGTACTGCATGGAATAGATAAGGTGGACAGACAGGATGTTCCGAAGAGGGGACACAGAAACAAGGGGTCACAATTGGAAGCTGAAGACTCAAACGAGTCACAGGGATGTTAGGAAGTATATTTCTTCAGTCATAGAGTCGTCAGGAAGCGGAATAACCTAGCAAGTGATGTAGTGGAGGCAGAAACTATACATAGCTTTAAGACGAGGTATGACAAAGCTCAGGAAGCAGAGAGAGAGAGAGAGAGAGAGAGAGAGAGAGAGAGAGAGAGGGTCAAGTAGCAATCAATGAAGAGGCAGTGCCAGGAGCTGAGTCTCGACCCCTGTAACCACAATTAGGTGAGTACACACACACACACACACACACACACACACACACACACACACACACACACACACACACACACACACACACACACACACACACACACACAAAGACACATATACAAGGTGGACAAAGACAGGATGTTCCAGGGAGGGGACACAGAAACAAGAGGTCACAATTGGAAGTTGAAGACACAGATGAGTCAGAGAGATATTAGGAAGTATTTCTTCAGTCATAGAGTTGTCAGGCAGTGGAATAGCCTAGAAAGTGACGTAGTGGAGGCAGGAACCATACATAGTTTCAAGACGAGGTTTGATAAAGCTCATGGAGCGGGGAGAGAGAGGGCCTAGTAGCAACCGGTAAGGAGGCGGGGCTAGGAGCTAAGACTCGACCCCTGCAACCACAAATAGGTGAATAGGTGCGTACACACACAGGGTTCAGGACCCTGTACACCGTGTACGTAAGGCCCATATTGGAGTATGCAGCACCAGTTTGGAACCCACACCTTGTCAAGCATGTAAAGAAACTAGAGAAAGTGCAAAGGTTTGCAACAAGACTAGTCCCAGAACTAAGAGGTATGTCCTACGAGGAGAGGTTAAAGGAAATGAACCTGACGACACTGGAGGACAGGAGAGATTGGGGGGACATGATAATGACATACAAAATACCGAGAGGAATTGACAAGGTGGACAAAGACAGGATGTTCCAGAGATGGGACACAGCAACAAGGGGACACAGTTGGAAGTTGAAGACACAGATGAATCATAAGGATGTTAGAAAGTGTTTCTTCAGCCACAGAGTAGTCAGGAAGTGGAATAGTTTGGGAAGCGATGTAGTGGAGGCAGGATCCATACATAGCTTTAAGCAGAGGTATGATAAAGCTCACGGTTCAGGGAGAGTGACCTAGTAGCGACCAGTGAAGAGGCGGGGCCAGGAGCTTGGACTCGGCCCCTGCAGCCTCAACTAGGTGGGTACAGGGGAGGGGAAAGCTTGTGTCACAAACCCACTGGAGTTTTACAACAAGGTAGCAGAAGTAAGACAGGAGAGAGAAGAGAGAGAGAGAGAGATGGGGTGGGTAGACTGCATTTTTTTGGACCATAAGGCTTTCGACAGTTCAGCACAAGAGATCAGGGCAAAAGCTAGAGGAGCAGGAGGTAATAATAGGAAAAGCACTTCAATGGATCGGGGAATACTTGACAGAAAGGAAATGAGTGATAGTACATGACGAGGTGTCAGAGTGGGCACTTGTGATGAGCGGTGTTCCATAAGGGTCAGACCTAGGGCCAGTGCTGTTTCTGGTATATGTGAATGACACGACGGAAGGGGTAGATTCAGAGGTGTCCGTGTTCACAGAGGATGTGAAGCTAATGCAGAGAATTCAAGTGGACAAGGATCAAGTAGGACTACATAGGATCTGGACACCCTGCGAGTCTGGTCCAACAACTGGCTCCTGGAGTTTAACCCCACCAAGTGTAAATTCATGAAGATTGGGGAAGGTCAAAGAAGACTGCAGACACATCAACCAAAGAGCTGCTGCAGCAAGTGGGTGCCTAGCAAACCAAAGAATAGCACTTCGACACCTGAATAAGGGGTCATTCAGGACACACTGTACACTGTGCATGTCAGGCCTATGTTGGAGTATGCAGCACCAGTATGGAACCCACACCTGGTCAAGCGTCAGTGGCGGCTCGTGTATAGGCACTGCGAAACTGCAGCACCCCCTATTATCACTCGATATTATCGATAACATTCAATATACGTAATGAGTTTTACTTTAATTCTTTCTTTATACGTACTTGTACATTACATAATCCTTAAGCTTAATGTCAGTAGCCATCCCCTAGTACATGAAAAAAATTACAAAAATCCTTGTATGGAACTGTGCGCTTCACAGTTCCAGCGACTTGGTGTTTGGCTGTTATGTGCATGCACACATGTCCAAGATAAGATGCTGCACGCTAGGTAGAGAGAACACTGTTGCTGATGCAGTGCCGACCCTGTTGTGCAAGTGTAAGGTAGTGTTTCTTTTTGACTCAACGACATGTGTTGTGCTTAAAAACCATGTACTATATTCTTGAATGTGATAAAGTGTAGAATTAGATGATTATTATTAACAAGTCAAAATGTTTCCACCTCGCCGGGAATTGAACCCGGGCCCTCCGCGTGTGGAGTGAGAGCTTTGCCAGCCAGGCCACGGGGTTGCACAGTTGTCAGGAAGTGTAACAATCTGGAGAGTTATGTAGTGGAGGCAGGATCCATACATGGCTTTAAGAAGAGGTATGATAAAGCTCTTGGAGCAGGGAGAGAGTGGACCTAGTAACAACCAGCAAAGAAGTGGGCCAGGAGGTATGACTCGACCCCTGCATCCACAAATAGATGAGTACAAAAATGTATGCGAGTACTCTCTCTTTCTCTTTCAAAAGTATTTTTTACAGGGTTAGGTTAAGAATTCCTATCTCTATTTACAAGCTAAGAGCTTGCACCTTATTTGAAAGCCTTTTTATTGTTATGAGATCATACAAATAATAATAATAATTATAATCATTATTTCTATAGATACATGTACAGCTTTTAGAGACCTAGCTGACATTACTGATATACCACTATACTATAGGAAGCCCTTTGTTATGTAGAGCATTTCAGACAAATTAGGTTAATTTTGTCCCCAGGGTGTGACTCATACCAGTCGGCTAACACCCAGGTACCTATTTACTACTAGGTGAACAGGAACAGCAGGTGTCTTAAGGAAGCTTGCTTAATGTTTTCACCCATACCAGGGATTGAACCACGGACCTCAATGTGTGAGCTGAGTGCGATAGCAACCAAGTCATGGGAACAGGAGGAAATTGTTTGAAAATGAATAAAATTGGAGTCAGCTGTGGGGCCAGCAATTTCATTTGGTCATCTGTCTTTATTTCATTGGTGTTGTTATGCTGTGCAAGTGTATTTCATACTTGAATCATTTTAGGAATGAAAGATCTCAGATGAAGTGACATTCTTGAGAAAGGTACAGCCAGAGTGTAGTTACACAATTGCAAACAAACCATGGTATGGGTGGGGATTGAACTCATGGCTAGTGACTCACTAGCCATGAGTTCAGTCCCCACCTGTACTTTGGTCAGAGTGTAGTTGCTGTTTGCTGCCTGCCTTTATTTAATTGTGTCTAGAGAGAGAGAAAATTATGAATTTATATTAGACAAAATAAAGGAGAAATGTAGATAGTGGAATGTGAGCTTTCAGTTATACAGCCTGTGTTGGTGCCCCAGACTTTCAACACTATTTTGATGACAGACTTAAGGTTTAAATTTAGATGTAAAAAACTCTTGATATAATGGACTAATGGGGGGGGGGGGTTGGATAACCTGTATTTGTGATTGTATTGATCAAGATGAGATTGTTTTGCAGTAATTGTAACTGTAATGGAGAATTCTGTACCCAGTGGACTTAATCTGTTACATTTCCAATTCAGTTGACCCAGTAGGTTTTATCCCGTATTTCTAAACTCCGTTATATCCAGGGTTTACCTCTTTTTTTTTTTTTTTTTTTTTTTTTTTTTTTTTTTTTTTTTTTTTTTTGTTAATTTAGCATTCTTGAATCTGAATGTAAATGAAAAAAAATATAGCTGAATTATCCCAGGTAGCTTTAAATTGTTAAACATCTTTTATCTCATTTGTGACGAATATATTCACATATGTATGAAAACCCCATAGGACAATCCTGCTTCTGTTTCTGCTGCTTCAACAACCAGTACCCAGTTGATCGGGATATGTCAAAGTTACAATGGAGAGCATGGATACATGCCACAACAGCTGTCATCCCAGGAACTGCCTGAGGTTAGTATTTATCTGTATTTGTGTCAGCAATAACTTTAGTGGCTTCAGAATTTATGAGAAGTCAGTGACTTGTTAGGGGTGTCACTTATAACTTTTTCCTGGGGAATTTTGATAAGCAGCCAATGGCTTTTGCAAGGGCCCCTCCCTTCCCCTCATAAAATTTTCTGGTGGAATTCTGAGCTGCAAAAGTCTTTGCTTTGGTAATTTTATGTTGCAAGATTTTGCTTTTCAGTAGTACATTGTTCAGTTACTCTTTGGAAAAAAATCGTGTTGAATTACAGTACAGTACAGTGGTACCTCGGGATACAAACAGCACAAAACTCGAACAGTTATGTAAGCGTATATATGTAAGTGCTTTTGTAAGTGTATTTTTGGGGGTCTGAAATGGATTAATCTAATTTACATTATTCCTTATGGGAACAAATTCGTTCAGTATTGGCACTCGAACGGCCTTCTGGAATGAATCAAGTTTGTATCCCAAGGTACCACTGTATGTCAGTTTAGAGCAAATATTTACACTTTATTACTGTATTGTCAATTTGTTTTTCTTGTACGATTTGTAATCAGTTAAAATTCTTTATATTTATTGATATGAAAATTCATGTTATCTGTCATAACTTAGGACTAAATGCCACTTACAGTCCATTTGTTTAAAGGAAGCAACTGTAAAAGGTCTTGTATACGTACATAACTTCCAAACAACTTGTGCTTAAACTTCACCTGCCTTAGTATCCTAATGAAGAGTGTGACTAAATAGGTCAGTGATCTAGCATCAACATCTAAACTGTCTATATGTCTAAACTGTCCTTTCAGTTAACTTCGTTAGATACACCACACTTGTGCAGGTACCCTTTACCCAACACCTGAATACTTTTAGCAGGTACTAGAGTTTTCTTGAAAACTGGTGTTTTTCCAAGGGTTTTTATCAAATAAGATACATGTGCATCATTTGGGCATCTTTATTGAGAGATGTTCTGCTCAATAGGAGCTACATCAAGTCATTAGACTGATGAAACTCTGGTAGGTAAAATGCTTCTCAGTGAAGATATTGAGGGGTAACATATGTCTTATTCATAAACTTGTTTGTATTAGACACCTTTGATCTAAAGATACGGGATTTTTTGCATTGATCTTCCCTTTCTTGCCCATGCAGGGTACATATTGTTTTAATATCATATGATCTAGCCAATTTCCTAATGAGCAGTAAGGGATAAATTTCATGAGAAAGTGAGACAAAGATGTACATATTCCATGAAATTAATTGGTAAAACAGCAAAATAAAGAAATTGTCTAAATTATCATTGCAGTAATTTTATTATACTTAGAGGGAAGAGTTAAACCCGTTAGGATCATACACCACTTGGGAAATGAGATGCAGTTAGGTTTGATCCAAGGAAGGGAAGGGAAAGAAAAGTAGAGTCCTTTGGTTCTAGAGCCCTCACCAGCATCAAAGAACATCCCTAGAGGGGAAAAGATTGTCTAAGAAACAGACAGTGTCCCATTGCTTGGTTGGCAGCACACTCAGCTCACATACTGAATGTCTGTGGTTCAGTCCTCAGTACGGGTAGAAATGTTGGTCGTGTTTTCTTACACCTGCTACCCCTGTTCTTCTAGCAGTAAGTAGGTACCTGCGTATTAGTTGACTGTTGTGAGTAGCATCCTACGGGGTGGTAGTATACCTTAGGGCTGGGCTGTGAAATGAACTGTGGTAGGATAACAACTAGCCTGTAAAATTTATTTGTGTAAAATAAAAATCAAAGAATATACTCAGAAGACTATAAAAGATAAAGATTTTATTTCTTTGTTTTGCCAAGTACAAAGAAAGCCACTATCATGTCGGGGCATTTCAGGCAGACTAATCCTAGTACAGTACGTAATAACTACTTAAATCTAGACAAGATAAGAGTGGTTAATTTGTATTAGAGTATTTAATTTTAACCCTTTGATTGTTTCGGTCGTATATATATGTCTTATGAGCCAATGTGTTTGACGTATATATACTCAAAAATTCTAGCGGCTTCAAATCGAGCAGGAGAAAGCTGGTAGGCCCACACGTAAGAGAATGGATCTGTGTGGTCAGTGTGCACTGTATAAAAAAAATCCTGCAGCACACAGTGTATAATGAGAGAAAAAACTCCAACCATGTTTCTGGATTAAAATGCTGAACTTGAGATGTATTTTTTTATAGTATTTATGGTTGTATTCTCGTTTTCTTGGTCTCATTTGATAGAATGAAAAACATATTACAGAAATGGAGATGATTTTGGTTGGTTTTACTATGAAAAGGACCTTGAAATGGAGCTCAAAGTAGGGGAAATGTTTGATTTTTGCCAATGTTCATGCATAAACAAATGACGTCATTGTCCAATAAATGTCCAACTAGCCATTCTAATATGCAGTCATGAATGGGCTGACATTATTTATACAATTATTACAATATTGCAGTAGTCTGCATAACAGTAAATCTTTTGTTTTTTGTTTGAATAAAAATTCAAAATAGAAAGCAAGAGTAATATCAGAGGGGCCTGGAGACGTGACTAATGACAAAAAAAATGTTATTTTAGAGCCAGGAATGTCTGCATTGTTCATTCTGGATCCTATTTTGAAATTGGCATATTTTTTTAATTTGCATTAAATTGGCCAAATTGCCAATTTCTGACCACTTTCTTGGGTAGTTAAAATTGGTAAATGGGCAGTTTCTTGTGCTCAGTCGATAGAACAAATGGAGTTCTAAAGAAATAGCTATGAGTTTGGTCGACTAGAACAATGGAATTAGCTGACAATAAGGCTCAAAGTGGGCGAAATAGCCTATTCGTAAATATCGCTGAGGTCGCTAACTTTGCAAGAGCGTAATTCCATAAGTTTTCCATCAAATTTCGTACTTTTGGTGTCATTATCATCAGGAAAAGATTCTATATCATTTCATAAGAAAAAAATAATTTTTTTTTCGAATATTTTGCGACACCAGGAGACACCTCAGGATTTGGGTTTGCGACAGTCAAAGGGTTAATGCTAATGGGAGGTAGCCAAGGTGGAGGTTTATAAGAACAATAATCTTGAAAGTTGCACATATTACAATAAACAATATTACAAATAATGGTTCAAACAGTAATATTTCATGGATTGGCAGATGTTTAATAGACTAGAGGTCATAAAATATAATATTGGGAGAGTTGCTTCAAACTGATTAGAAGTTGTTTAGGTTGGTTTGGTCAATATTGAAAGATGAGATGATTTTTAAGCAAAGTCCTAAATTTTTAAGTAGTCAGGGGATCCTTTGCTGATTCAGATAGTGAATTCCAGATCTTCGGGCCCTTTATATGCATTGTATTTTTGCATAGTGTGAGACTGACACAAGGGATGTTGAAGAGTGCCTTATACCTTGTACATATTGTGACTGTGTTTTGTTGTAGCTGTCAAGGAGAAGTTTAAGTGGAGGGTTTATATTGGAGAGGCCAGGAGAGGCATTTTGCCAAAAAATACAACACAGATTATGAGATACTGTATATGATTACTTTACTGTTGCTTCTGTTCTTGGTCTTCTTGACCCCCTATTTACAGTACTCATTTTCTCATTCTTCAGTCTTGCCAACCTCTTATAAAAAATACTGTGTTTATTTCTTAAAGTTTAATTTTTTTTTTTTTTGCTATCCTCTTCTTTATAGTACATTCTTTTAATTCAACAAAAGCATACTAAAGGGTAAATTTCTCCTTATTCTCTTGCATGCATTTAATATGGTGTACACTTATTTTAAAATAAAAGAAGTACATAATATCCCTAACTGTTTTGAACCTCAGAAATCATCCCCTTCCCCTCCATGTTCTCATATCTGTTTTAAAATGATTAATTTCTTTTCAGGATAAAGATGAGAACCAGGATCCAAGTGATGAGAATGCAGATATTTTGGACATCTCCTGTAGTGGTGAACAACAAAGTTTTGCCAACTTAGCCTTCCAGAATGATTCTGATGATACTAGTGATGGAGAATTAATCATTGTAGATGAAGGTGATAATTTAAAAGCCACAGGTGATAACTCAGCTTTTGATGTAGAAACACCCACTGCAGCTGCAGATAATGAACAAGATGCTCTTCTAGGCATTCGTCGCAGGAATGGTACTCGTAGTGAGGCCCAGCAGAAGATGGAGGATGGTAAGCATTGGCTTCTTAACAATCTGATGTTCATTAACACTGTATCAAGTGTGATATCATTGAACTCTGTTGATGAAGCTTACAAAGCATACTGCAAGGAAACTGGTAAAGAACCTTTAACAACCCCAGTACTTGCACGTCTTATAAGATGTTTATTCCCGAAGGCCCTGAAGTGCCGTCTAGGATCTCGTGGTAGTCAGAAAATTCACTACCGAAGCTTACAGTTGAAGACAATTTTAACAGCACTTTCAAAGCCTTCTGATCACATGCCAGAGACCCTTAAAAACTTAAGTGGCATTAATGGAACTGCTTCAGCTAGTAAATCTGCAAATGCTGACTGTGTGGATATTGCAGATGAGAAGATATCAAACATGCCAGAGCAAATGGAGGCTCAAGCTAAGGATTCCAGTGAGCAGAAGAAGAATCTGAGTGACCCAGGTGATTCCACTGAAAGTGTTGCTAGGCAGCAACCTAAAGTGAATATGTCTGCCATAGATGACAAACAAGTTGACAGTAAGTCTGTTGTAGATGACAAAGAAATTGACAGGAAACCACATGTAGATGATAAAGAAGTTGACAACCAGTCTGCTGCAGAAGCTGACAGACTAGATCAAGTTATTTCTGAATCATCTACTCAGAGGAATTTAGCAGCACAGATTTCAGCTGATGATAAGGAAGGCTGTGAAACTGCTGCCCAAAGACTCTCACAAGTACTGAAGTGGATTTCAAACCAAGGTCGCAAGGATTTTCTGCTGCGTGAATTTGCTCATAGTGCATCATGCCAAGCAACATCATGCACACCTGTGTGCCTAATGTTTCGTCGTGTTCGTCGTCATGTTGTAGCTGCCCGCCATTCGTGCTTTGTGTTGCGCTTATATTCAGGCCTCTTGCGCATGCATGTTTCTTCGTGTAATAATTCTGAATGTGGTCTGCCTGCTTGTCCTGCACTGAGAGCCACCAAAGCTATCAAACGTTCTCTTGGACAGCAAGAGAGTTCATCAAAGCGAACTGCTGTGCAGATTTCAAGTGGCATAAGGCACCCTTCAACGTTAGCATTAACTCCTCGATCTCCGGAAACATCGTTACCAGGATCGCCAGTAAACTCTCCTCCAGTAAGTCCTGAGCCTATCACATTTAGAGATTCATTATGGCCAACACAGCCAGGCCAGGTACAGTATGTGATTGTACCTGTTATGCCAGTCATGATGCCTTTCTCAGACAACCGTGGAGCCTGATCATGTCATCTGCATTCCGAGAGGTTATTTGGGTTAATTACGTATTACGATTTTTATAATTCACTGAGATTTGTTAAAAAGAAGATGCTACACGTAATTAAAAAGATTAAAACATTGAAACTTAAGTAAACCATCTATTTGATTTGAAATATGCTTTTGTAATACAGTAGGACCCCCATATCCGTAGGGGTTATGTTCCAAGGACCTGCTGCAGATACCGAAACAGCGGATATTAGCGAACCCTGTATATAAGTCATTTTTCATTGACATATACCTGTTATAATGTTTAATTGATAAATTATATGCAGTAACTCAAGAATTAGTACTTTTTAACTGATAAGAAACAATTCATAGCTTCTCTTTGAACTTTGAGGTCATTATTAAGCAAAATTAAGGGTTAACTGAAACAGCGGATACCGCACTTGCGGATATGGGGGTCCTACTGTAGTATCCAAATGTGCTCTTTTATTTTCTTCTTATATAAGTGTATTGCTATTACACTAAAGTAAATTCCAAATCAAATAGTCATTATATTTGATTTGGAATTTACTTTAGTAATAATACCAGTATCCACATGTGTTTTGAAGAAGTATGTTTTCAGTTGTAAAAATTTGCTTAACCCTAAACTGTCCAAACGTAGATCTACGTTTTTTCCTTTCTTATGGAGAAAATCAAGGTTGGAGTACTACGTGCGCAATCGTAGACCTACGTTTGGACAGGTTAAGGGTGGAATGTAACTGTAGAGATTTTGTTATTTATCACAAAAACATTTTGGAAATACAGTAGAATGCAAAAAACCCAGGTTGCTCTTTTAAAGCATAAATTATTATTATTATAATCATAACTAAGTGCTAAACCCATTAAAGCATGAATACAGTATTCAGTGTCTTTTCAGTCATTGCTGTAGTAGATGCCTACTAAAAAATTAAAATTTTATAATACTGCATAAACACTAATCTTAGTGTATCAGAGCATCTGAGCTGTGAAGTTCAGTGTTTGGTTAAAAAGAGGAAGATGTACTGTTTTTCTTCTTTGTAGCATTTAACTGGGACATAAACAAGGTTTTGCAGTTTTTATTATACTTTTTATGTCTTATTGGCAGAGTTTGCTGAAACTTTTATCAGTGCCATGCATTACTGCAGATTTTTTTTTTTTTTTTTTTTTTTAAAGAATCTAAAAATTTCCTTAAAAAATACTATGCCATTACCTAATTTTAACCCTTAAACTGTCCAAACGTAGATCTACGTCTACACGCGTAGCGCTCCGACCTTGATTTTCTCCACAGGAAACAATGTAAAAAAAAATAGATCTACGTTTGGAGTGCTACGCGAGCAAACGTGCATCTACGTTTGGACAGTTTAAGGGTTAAATTTCAAGGTTTCAGGAAGAAAATTATGAAAAAAAATTATAAAATATTACAGTTATCTTAATGTCTCCTGCAGTCACAAATAGACATTATAGTGAGTTACTCATACAATTGTCATAGTGTGCTGCACGATGTGTACAGTTTTATTTTGCTTTACATTATCATAGGATCTTCATTTTACATTACGTTTACATTATCATAGGAGCTACAGTGATATTGAAGTTGTATTTCATAATTAAATAATGGTTTGTTTGATAAGTAATAATATTTTTATTTTAACAGCAAATATATGGATTATTTGTTATAATATACTTATTTTATTTTTTCATAAAATCACAGTTGTGATATTAAGAGTAAGGTTAATATACTACGTGAGAGTCATATTAGCCTCACAGATGTTTTAATAATTTATTTTTGCTGCCTGAGCTTTGGACAGAGCAGATATTGTTTCATTGGCTGTCCATAATTGTTTTTTGTTTCAGAGCTTTGACTTGGCACTCTTAAGAGTTTGAGATGAAGATTCACGTATGTTAATTCCTGTTGACAAGAAAGTCAACATAGCTGGGGTTGAATTACAGATAAATAATTGATTGTGTCTGAGAGATAAGTTGCTGCCCATTTTACATAAAAAAATACCATCTTTCTAGCATGGGCCAAACATTTAGTATGTTCTTCATTGGAAGAGAGTATCAGTGATACAGAAGGTCGCAGAGACTTGTGACCGAATGTTGAGCTGGGTACATCAGGTTCTTTTGTGAGCAATTCTTCTGGAAGATTAGTACATTTATCTAAGTACCGTAATGTATTATACTTCGGTTCATGTTTGAAATACGTATGTTCATGGGGATGGAAGAGGAAAAGTTAAGAAAAGATATTTTATCTCCCACAAAGTAGTACAGGTCCACATCCCTTTATCAGAAACCCTTGGGGTCAGTAGTGTTTCAGATTTCAGAATTTTTCGAATTTCAGAACGAAGGTGGGGTCTAGGGCAGCATCCCTTAATCAAACATTAACACTGCAGCAAAAATGTATGAATACTCACATTAAGTGGGATAAATAAAGACTACAAATGCTACTATGGTTTATTTATAGAGTAATATATTGATTAATGAATTTTTTTTTTTTTTTTTTTTTTTTTTTTCAACAAGTCGGTCGTCTCCCACCGAGGCAGGGAAATAATGGGATAATTATAGACACAATCACAATGTAAAAAGCAAAAACAAAATATCAGCGAACAGCAGATGTACGTTTGAACACTACAAGCGCTGATACACAACTGACACCTGCCACTCTGGCTGTTGGTGTTGGGTCATGCTGCTACATGGTGGCATTGGAGTTATGTTGAGATGACTGACGCTCCACGCTCCACGAAAAAACTTCGGTTTTCGGAACTTTTCGAATTTCAGAATTTTGGAAAAAGGGATATGGACTTGTACATAGTATTGAAATAGGCACCTTGCAGGACATCCAAATTTGAGCACCATGGATAGCAGTTTTCATTTATGTGATGAATGGTTTAGAAAACCGACACAACTCTCACTATGTACATTTCCCAGATTACAAAACCTAGGCAAACCAGTTCTATTCCTGTGAAAAATCCATTGTCACTGATTGCTTGAGTAGAATGGCACTGTTGTTGCCTGTTCCTGCAGTTTCCTCTTATTGATAATCTACCCGATATTGCCAGAGGCTCAGGAATAAATGATTCGTGGTTTGGATACACTAACTGAGATGGATTTTGAAGTAGCTTATGTACAGGCTAATTGATTATGCTCTTTAGGGTGATCATCCTTTCATTTATTTACTGTGCAGGCAGAGGAACTTGTATTCGGGGTCATACACAAGACATGTCTGTTTCTTGAGCTATAGTCCCAGGGTTTGTGGATGATAAAATTTTTGGCTTTGCGACAGGGATGCTTTGCTTTGTTTACCTTGTTTTCCCTACAGTATGGCAACCTGGCAATCTATATATGCATTGGGGGATGGTTGTGACTGTGTGTTCACATCACTTTTTTCCTGTGTAGACAATCCTATGATTTTGACTGTACCTAAGCAATTATTTTGATGCTGTGGCAGAGGAGACTGTCCATGTTATTTGTATGGCAATAAATATCTGAATACATCCATTGATATCCATGTTGTATGGTCAAGGTGACTAAGATGAGGATATATTTCCAGTGAATCATTGCAAAGCTAGTGGTTGTGAATACATCTGAATCTTTGCAGTCTAGTTATTCTTATGATTTTTCAGGCTGAATGAGTAGCAAATTCTTTGTTGGTCTATGATAATGTTGCTGGCCTGTCAGAAAGACCTTTGACCTATTAATCTTAGTATGTATCAGCAAACATATTGTGTTTATGCATTTACTGTGTCCGGTGTCTACCCATTAACATTAGAGGTGTTAAAAGAGATTCAGGTGGTTGTTATATTTTATTTGAGGAAAGAAATACGTATATAGTATATATATGTGGCATTTCTTGCTCTATTGTGATGGTTCTTGGGGTGGTAATGTGTATACTTTCTGCTGGGTAGTGAAGCTGGATTTTACTGCAATTGTGGTGTTTGCTATGGTGCATGTGTTTCATACTATGGCATGTGCAGAGCTGGAGACCGTCAGGCTAAGCATTTCGCAGAGTATTGGTTAATGGTTTCTAGAGTTGGCCATCATGGCTTGGATAGAGCATTGATGTTTTTTGATGGATTATGGATAGAACCTGTTATGTGTGATGTTAGTCATATATTTCTGTATGGCATGTATACTTGCATTCCAAGCAGTATTACCATGGAGGTAAAGACACATAGTTCAATACACTTATTGAGGAAATGTTTCACAGTCCTAGGACTGAAGAAGTCACTTGTGGCAAAACATTTCCTCAATGAATATCTTGAACCGTGCATATGTTTCTTTATCACATGATGTCAGTATCGCCATACCTTTCCAGTCATTACCCTGGAGGACGTACTGGGTTGGAATATCAGATTTATAGTGATACAGAAAGTAATTTATCATGCAGTATACTGTACTCCTGCTTAAGTATTCACAGATTTCTTCCCTGGTTAAGTAGAGCACTGTCTTAGCAACTGATTAGAGAGTAGTGTTTTACTACCATCCTGGTATATGTAAGAGTGTAGTGTGAGAGTAGTTTTGTATAAAGTATGTGATTTTTTGACTTCCTGGATCCCTTGTATTTCAGCCTGATGTTAAAGTTAGCATTAGCATGTAAATTTTATTGGCAGTGTTTGAATGTCAACTTATAGGAGCAGTACAAGGTTGTATGAGCCTCTGCTGTCATCTACTGCGATGTGACTTTGAGTGTATTATTTGATTTATAAAGGTACACCTGTATCTGGAGTTTACCTGGAGAGAGTTCCGGGGGTCAACGCCCCCGCGGCCCGGTCTGTGACCAGGCCTCCTGCTGGATCAGAGCCTGATCAACCAGGCTGTTACTACTGGCTGCACACAGACCAACGTACGAGCCACAGCCCGGCTGGTCAGGTACCGACTTTAGGTGCTTGTCCAGTGCCAGCTTGAAGACTGCCAGGGATCTGTTGGTAATCCCTGTCGGCTACTGCGATGTGACGAGTGTATTATTTGATTTATAAAGGTACATCTGTAATGGGGATTTTCTTTCTTTTTTGGTCACCTTGCCTTGGTGGGAGACAGCCGACTTGTTAAAAAAAAAAAAAACTGTAATGGATAAGCAACACCTTTGATTCATATGACCCACGTCATTATAAGAAAATTTGTAAGAATTTTTCATGGGACATTTTTTTATTTGTGGGGGAACAATTAGATGTCAACTGACAGTATATTTTTGTTCTGTATTGTGATATTTAAGGGCCCATCTCCCATGGTGTGTATCATACTTTTCTTAATTAAAAAACTTTACATAATTTTAGTTAAGTAAGTAGCATAAGTAAATTGAAAAGAATGATCCTAAATATGGCATTGCAATACTTGAATGTGGTTTGATTTTTTCTGGTAGTATTTTGGAAATGTTAGACTAAGATTTTAAGTACAGTATAGCACATTTACAGTACAGTAATGATAATCACGTAAATTTTAAAAACTAAGTAGTAGAATAAAACGTATCTTAATTGTAGCTGTAATATTAAAATTAGAAAGTAAAAGGTAAACTTAAGGATAATCTTAACTGCATATAAGATACAATATATTTCTGCAGTTGGACCACAATGAAAGTTAACAAATTCCAAACACTTTCATGATATGTCAGTCATTCTCAATGCTTAAGAATTAGTAGAAGTTTATGGGTTGGCCAAACCAGGCACCCCTGAAAAGATGCCTAAGAGCTAACAGAATCAGGTCAGGTCAAGTGTGACTTGTTCTGCCGACATATCGTAAAACTTCCGCACACTGTATTAATAATGAATACATCTAACGTATGTAGTCCTTGATTTATAAGCTGGACGTATTCATTACTAATAAATTGTATGAAAGGTTTATTCTGTATTAACATCATCACTAATTCAACTGATAACTATTTGACTTGTCACTGCTTTTCTGTATACAGTATCTTTTTTGTCATAGGAACTTGATCACTTCTAACATATACGTACAGGAATGAGATCAACAATATATACTGTATAAATGAGAGTGAATTGTAAAACTTGGGTGACAACCTAACAAAATGTACATAGTTCAGGTGAGTGTGGAAATGGCATCAGGTAGAGCTCTTCTCCAGGTGCATACGCACTTATGCACTTGATGGCTGTGTCATGAGGTGGGTTTGGCTTAATTTAGTCAAGTATGAGGTGTGCCAGTGTTAACAATATGTTAGAGCTTCCAGCATTTTAATAAACAGTGTAAGTGACAGCAATGAATGAAACTTCCAGGCTTTTTCACCATCTGAAGTTGGGTGTTCTACCCCTTTTCAATTCATCACAGAGTTATGTGTGTGACATGGGTGGTGTTCAGGTCATCCCTATTGCAGGTGTACTTGTGTTGACTCACATAGATAGACTCCTGCATGTTTTCCTGACATACTTTTTGGTACACTATCCACAAGGGATGGAGTAGAGACACCTGCTGTTGAAATAAGGGGGTGTAGACTATACTCTTACTAAGGTCCTTGTACACTGTCTTTGTGGACTCTGTGTCTAGAAATATGTAGGGGAGACAGTCAGGAGTCTATGTCCACCTGAATGAACTTAACTATGCCTGCAACAGGGGCAACCTGTGTCTTACACAGGAATTCCATGAAACACATGATCAATTGGAAAGAGTTGCAACTTGTCATCATAAAACCCTGACTTTAGGTATCAACAATATAAACCTCATTAATTGCTGTCACTGACAAAGTGGGTCAAAACTCCAGAAACTAACATATCAAAAACACTGGCATACCTGAGCTCGACCAAGGTCACCTCATGACACAGCCATCAGGTGATCTCATGGGCTACCTGATGCCATCTCTGTACTAGTATGCCTCACTTTTTCTCTGTCTAGATATACTGTTATTCTCAACCCTGAGTATGTTATAAGTGATCAAGGTTCCAGGACCAAAATGTTTTGCCAAGAACTGTCCTAGTGTTTCCACCAGGCCTGGTGGCTAAAGCTCCCGCTTCACACACGGAGGGCCCGGGTTCGATTCCCGGCGGGTGGAAACATTCGACACGTTTCCTTACACCTGTTGTCCTGTTCACCTAGCAGCAAATAGGTACCTGGGTGTTAGTCGACTGGTGTGGGTCGCATCCTGGGGGACAAGATTAAGGACCCCAATGGAAATAAGTTAGACAGTCCTCGATGACGCACTGACTTTCTTGGGTTATCCTGGGTGGCTAACCCTCCGGGGTTAAAAATCCGAACGAAATCTTATCTTATCTTATCTTATCTTATCTTGTCAACATCTACACCAAAGCTTTACCATGTTATAGTGCTTGCGGGATTTGCTTTCCTCCTCATCTGTTTATCAACTTGGCTTGCTCCTCAGTTTCTCTTTGGTGAGACCCTCATTATAAGACTAATAACTGCTCATCATCCTCATTGACCTTATCAAATTCATTGCACCTAGGAAAGGCCATGATCTTCCTCTGTACATCTAGGGGTGCTTCCTGAAATCCATGAAAATTTCTCCCATGCCTTCTTTGTTGTAGCAACCATGAATTCATGTTTATAAAAATTTAGCATTTTTTTTTTGAATGACATAGGTGATGTTAGGTGTTCAGTATTTCTTGATTGCTGGCTTATCCTCTCCCTCAGTGTCAATAAATTTGGAGGTTGTCATTACATCATGAGACTTTAATAACTTAATACATTGGCTGAATTAAGGATGAAGTATTTTGTGGAAGAGATACAACCCTGATGTATTTGGAAGCATTTAGTGGTATGGGAGTGCATAAAATGGTAATACATATATACTGACGCCGATTATGACAGTGTGTGGATATCGTATTTTATTAAACCACAATTTGTTTGCCAGGAACTTTTATCAATTCATGAATTGATGAAAGTCCCAGGCAGGCAAAAAGTCTTAAAATAAAATACTGTAATCTGCACATTGTATCATTATCATGTTTAGGATGCATACTTGCATTAATAATGAGTCACTGCCATTGAGCAAAATACACAGTGGTGTGAAGCTGGGACAAGAAGCAAAGCTGTAGTCTTTCTTCTTTCACATGGTTTCTAATACATCAAAACAATAACAAAGCTGAACTACTTTTAGTGTGTTTCATTAGTATGTCCCATGAGCACCACAGTTTCCCATATCTCTTGATGCAAACAGCTACAAGAAGTTGCTTGAGGCCACTGACTGGGTATAGTATGCAGTTTTGCAAGCACTTGTGTAATAATCATTCTTTGTAGTTCTTCAAAACTTTTTCACAGGGTGAGTACTAATATATATATAAATAAGCACAAGTATATATTTTTTTTTTAAACAAACTGGCCATATCCTACCAGGGAGGGGTGACCCAAAGAGAAAAGCTAAGTATACTACATCTATGGAAGAGAGAGAATGGAACATAGTAATATGACTTGGAGAACGTATAAATCTGTAGGGGAAGGAAGGCTGGGTAGGGGTTGTCCTCAAAAAGGTTGGAGGGGGGTAAAGGAGGTTTTGTAGGCAATGGGCTTGGATTTCCAGCAAGTGTGCATGAGCATGTTAGATAGGAGTGAATGGAGACAAGTGGTTTTTGGGACCTGATGAGCTGTTGGAGTGTGAGCAGGGTAATATTTTGTGAAGGGATTTAGGGAAACCGGTTAGCTGGACTTGAGTCCTGGAAATGGAAAGTACAATGCCTACACTTTAAAGGAGGGGTTTGGGATATTGGCAGTTTGGAGTGACTCTAAACTGTCATATCTGGGTGCCTCTGTAAAGACAGTGATTATGTATGAGTGATGGTGAAAGTGTTGAATAATAATGAAAATGTTTTTTTTTTTCTCGGGGGGGGGGGGGGGTTCTTTTGGGTCACCCTGCCTTGGTGGGAAACGGCCGTGTTAAAAATGTAGAAGCTTTGCCATAGTAATGTTTGTTGTGCACTATAATTCAGTAACATTGGTAGCTTCCCTAGTTTTAATCATAGCTGTTATTGCTCATATTGAAAATAAGCATGATGCTGTGGTGGGTCACGAAAGTGCAATTAAGTATATACTGTAATCATTAAAATTTTTATCGTTTGTTTTTCTTTACCAGTAGGATTTTCTTTTGATTATGGAAATATGGGACCCAGCATTCATATTTCCTGTAGTAGGTAAATAAACCCTAATAGAACTCAGATTTAGTTTTGGAAATCATGTTATGAAAACTTAACAGTTGGAAGGTTGTATGATTCTCAGAAATATGTCTTAGTTCCTTGTTTATGGGTTTGGATGAGAATTTTGTAAATCAGCAATGTCGGTGACCCAGCTGAACCTTCCTATGTGACTATTATATTAAGGAAAATATGTTATGAAGAGCACTAAGCTTGGATGTGTGCGGATTAATTACATTGATATAATAATCACTAAGAAGGGTTTAAAGTTAGGTCTGACATATTTTACCTATATGGATTTAGTGTGATTTTTATAAATGAAATAATATTAACCAAGCATCTTTTGTGATCCCCGACTTGTCTTATTTGCCGAGACTTGACATCTCTCACTTTCATTCCAGAGAGATCTAAATTAAAAAAAACTGTAACTGAATTAAAAATATGCGATGATCTTTCATAACAGTACAAACAGACTAATGTCCAAAGGAATAATATGAAAAGCCTTTGGACATTACATAATCTGTTTGTACTGTTATGAAAGATCATTGCATTTTTTAATTCAGATACAGTTTTTTACTGTTGAAGTTTAAAGTTAAATATTTTTCATTAGAGGAAAGCCTCGTTCAATAATAATTATACATTGCTGAATCCGACCATTTTTAGCGAGACATTGTTGAATGAGGACCATTGTTGCATGGAATAAATGACACTATAAAATAAAGCTTGTTCCACTAAAAAAAAGCCGTAAATGTGCAGTACATGTACATATACTCATGAAATATAACTCCTTCCCTTTTCCAGGCACTGTATGACCCCTACAGGTTTAGGGTTTCACCACAATCATTAAATACAGATAAAATTGCTGTATGTTATGACTAAGATAATGTGGTGGCTATTGGTGTATAATGCACAGTGGTTTACCAATTATGTTGGTATACAGTACATTCCTCCAGTCTGCCTAACAGTGCAAAATAACATAACCTAATTTAATTTACATAAATACTTGTGTGTACCTCACGTTACTTCCAGCAAAGTGGAATGTGACGTGTTTGCTTTGTTCAAAAATTTTATGCAAAATGAGGGAGGATGATCAGTGCATGTATTGCCCTAACAATAATATTGAGTATGTCTTAACAATTAACGTATCATGTACTACATAATAATACTAGTTTTTACGGTCAACACAGTCTGTATTACACAATAATACTAAAGTGTCTTAACATGTAACACAGTCTGTAATACACAATAATACAGGGTCTTAACATTAACATAGCCTCTACGGACCAATAATACATTTGAGTCTTTAACAGTTAGCACAGCCCATACTACATAATGATAGTAAAAGGTAAGGTGGCCAGTAGCTCAGTGGTTAGAGCATGCAACTCGCAACCAAATGAACCAGAGTTTGATTCTCTGGCTGGGCGAGATGTATGGGTAAATCTCCTTACATGAGCTCCCCTGTTCACTTAGCAGTAAAAGATACCTGGGTGTTAATCGATTCTTGTGGATCACATTCAAGGGAGTGGTATATATCTTAGAAAGGGTTGAACTTTCAAATGAGCTTAGGTAGAGTAACAGCTCTCAGCCTAAAAAAAAAAATTAACATGCTTTGCTTGTAGAAACAATGTAAATGCCTCGTTCTAAGATTTGTGTCAGCTGATGGGTTGGGTTACATAATGTCACTTGTTCGATGAGGCAGTGTTCAACGAGTCTTTCCTGAAATGTATTTAATGTTAATTTATCATAAGAAACAAATGTGGAAGTGGCAAGAAGCATCAGCATCAGATAAGCTATGATTGTACTCGGGACTCTACTGCTTTGAGCTTAATAAATGTTTTTGCCAAGATCTTAATACTTTTTTTTTTCATTTTTCACCCTTTGAAGTATTGTATTGCCAATAGGCTACTTGATGTAATGTTTGAATCTATTATAATTTAGCATCTTCTTTAAGTATGTTCAAGGCCTATAGACTACACATGGGTCATTAAGGCTATAATTTACCTAACCATTTATATAATGTAATCCCTTTAATAAGGACTGAAATATACTCAATGTATATACACCGAGAGAAATGTGGTACATTTCTTGGCCCAGAGTATATACAATACACTGAACACTACAATCTTTGCTTTGCTTGTTATTCAAGGGACATGCCATGATACTGGCAATGGACTCTTGATACAAGAAATTGGAGCTGTCCTTGTCTTCCTTAGATCAAACCTGATGGCCCTACCAATCCCCAGGTGCTGCATGATGACCCCTACGGGTTTAGTGCTTTCCCACATATAATGAACTTATTATATTGAAGGCCAAACAACTGCAATATTTCAGTCACTAAGACGTGGGTGGCACGCTACCGTATTCTGAAAAAAACTAACCCTTATCTTCTATTCCTGACCTTCCAATGTTGCACAGCTCCTGATGACGCACTGAGAAGTGTGAAAGTACTTGGGCTAAAGATTACCACCCTCCGTGGCTTGTCCTGCACTGTTAAGATCGTCTGTCTGCGATTATATATATATATATATATACATATATATATATAATATATATATATATATATATATATATATATATATATATATGTGGAGATATAATATATACTTTATAATGTAAGCATGCAAACTCAAGTGTGTAAAACATGTTCTGGAATAAGGCTGATGAATGGTAGCTACGTTAATTATAGTCTCACTAATTTTTAGCAGATGTTTATAAAACAATCATACCTATATATAAGTAGCAAGCTGACACGGGAATCACTTTTTCAAGTCACAAAGTATACAATGTTCAGTTCTGCTAATCGATGTACAAATATCTAGTCAACTTCTTTAACTAGACTGGAATGGTAATTTGGTGTATTTTCATGATTAAAAGGTCTGTGGATCCTGGAAAGGTGTTGCTGGCGAAGGGC